GATATCGTACTCAAGCTTACGTAACTGTCACATACATAGAAGTGAAGCTAAATCAAAGAGACTAGATCAGGATCTATAATTTCGACAACTCCTGAATCGTATGATCCAAGTCCATCCTATGTTTAATTCGAGTCTTCATATATCAAACTGAAGCAATCTTCTCCAATTTCCGACCATGAACAACATGGCTTCTAGCCGCTAAGCAACCAAGCCAAGGTTGAGAACTTTTCCTCGGCAACAATCAGACACTTTTCTCTAGATATTTAATTATTTCATCTACTTCCAACTCTCTTTAAATAAAATTACCAAGGTTCAAATATATTTATTCATTTTTTGTTAATTTGTGATTAATACAAAAGTCGACATTCAAAATAACTAAAATATATCAAAGTTTTCAAAAAATAAGTAAAAAAGATTGCACAAACACAGTTTTGGACCAACAAGTTAATCATGGTCTCACTTTCTTTAGGATGTAACATTGCCAACACTATCTTTTCACTTGTGGTTCGAAATTTATGGTCGACATCACTATCTGGCGACAATAATTTTGTCTGTTTATCCCAATAATTAAGGTTTAAATGTTGAATCACAAGAAAAGCGTAGAATGCCATGTGATAGAATGTGTCGAACATTTTCGCTCTTATCTTTCACGATAAATTGGATAAACTTGTTTACGCCACATCTAATGACTAATATACTTTCCTGAAATTCTCCGTCGGCATGAAGAGGGAATCAATTTATTTCCATTATCTGTCATAATATCACATTTTTGACAATGCCACTGGAAAATAAACTGAATCTTTTTCCTTTTATTTTATTTATCTATGGTATATTAAAAAGAAGGATGAGGATAAACTTTTGAATACCAGTTTTACCCTTAAATATTTAGCTATATGCCCAATATACCCTCATTTGGTATTAAAAAATGAAAAAGAAAGAGAAAGAAAGGTTGCATTAATGTGTTCACCTTGACACTAAAATATTGAACAACAATTTTACCCTTATATACTTAGCTATACGCCCAATATACCAATATTTAATTTTAGTTTTGTTAATAATTAATTAATAACATTAATTCAATCTATTCAACATGAGAAAATCAATTTTCTTTAGCATTTATCAATAATTCCCTAAATTAAGATTTTTAATATTACATTCATTTTTATCAACAGCATTAATTTAATTTATTTAACATGAAATTGAAAAAATAGATGTTTAAGGAACTCAAAGGATGGCATTAAAATTCCCTTTTCAGATTAAAAAAAATAAAAATACATTCAATTTATTTAACATGAAATTGAAAAATAGGTGGTGATTAAGGAACTCAAAGATGACTTTAAATTTCCATTTTGAAAAAAAAAAAAAAAAAAAAGAAATCTTTCAACTTGATTAATAGTGTTAATTCAAAATAAAATTGAAAAACAGATGTTATTATTTAGAGCATTAATTCAATTTATTACATTAAATAGAAAAATGAGTGTTTTTTAAGGAACTCAAAGGATGGTCTTGAATTCCTATTTTGAGATTAAGAAAAGAATTCTTTTATTAGATTAATAGCATTAATTTAAATGAAATTGAAAAACGATCTTCTTATTAACAACATTAATTCAATCTATTAAACATGAAATTGAAAAATGGATGTTATTTAAGGAACTCAAAGAACGTGTTTTTGAAGAATATTATATTGCTCATTTGTCATAATAATGTTAAAACTAATTTCAACATTTTTTGTGTTGCATATTGAGTCATTCATATATAATACATATACAAGCACTAAACTTTATGATTTACATTCACGTATTATTTCACAAAAAAGAGAAAATTACCATAAAAACTTAAAGGTTGCATTATTATGTTCAACTTCACACTAAAATTTAAGTTTAACATTCGGTCATAAATGTATAAGGACATATCTACATGTAAATGCAGCTTTATATAATGAATTATATAATACATGCAACTTTTTCATTCAATCTTTCCCTTCCACATCATTTTATATAATTCATAATGTACCATTTTTATATACAAGTAACATAATCTAACGTATAATGTTTGAATATCAATTTTTACCCTTACACGTTTAGTTATATATCCAATATATCCTCATTTGGTTTATAAAAACAAAAAAGTAAAAAAAAAAAATAAAATTTGAAAGGTTGCATTAATATGTTCACCTTGGCATTAAAATATTAAATATCAATTTTTTCCTTATATATTTAGCTATATACTCAATAAACCCTTATTTTAATTTTAGTTTTGTTAATAATTGATTAATATCATAAATTCAACTTATTCAACATGAAATTAAAAAATCCGTTTTCTATTTCATTTGTCAATAATTCGATAAATTAATCTTTTCAATATTACATTAATTTATATTAACAACATTAATTCAACTTATATATTTGTCGTATATATTTAGCTATACAAATATGCACTTATATAATTTTAATTTTGTTAATAATTAATTAATAACATTAATTCAATTTAGTCAACATTAAATTAAAAAATCCATTTCTTTTCCATTTGTCAATAATTTTCTAAATTAATCTTTTAATATTACATTAATTTTTATTAACGACATTAATTCAATTTATTTAACATGAAATTGAAAACAGGTGTTGTTTAAGAAACTAAGAGGATGACCTTAAATTTTCCTTTTGAGAAAAAAAAAATGCATTCAATTAATTCAACATGAAATTGAAAAATAGATGTTTAAGGAACTCAAAAAATGGCCTTAAAATCCCCTTTTGAGATTTAAAAAATAAAAATACATTCAACTTATTCAACATGAAATTGAAAAATAGGTGGTGTTCAAGGAACTCAAAGGATGACTTCAAAATGCCAATTTGAGAAAAAAAATAAAAAATCTTTTAACTTGATTAATAGCGTTAATTCAAAACAAAATTGAAACACAGATGTTGTTATTAAGAGCATTAATTCAATTTATTCTGCATAAAATTGAAAGATGGTTGTTCTTTAAAGAACTCAAAGGATGACATTGAATTCCCCTTTTTAGATTAAGAAAAGAATTCTTTTATTTAGACTAATAGCATTACTTTAAATGAAATTGAAAAATGGACGTTCTTATTAATAACATTAATTCAATCTATTCAACATGAAATTGAAAAACGGATTTTATTTAAGAAACTCAAAGAACAGGTTTTTGAAGAATATCCCACCATATAAATTAATCTTGAAAACAAATTGTCCAGTGATGTTCTTGAGAAATCTAAACCCATCCAACGGTCTTTGCAATATAACAAGAATAATTGTCGTGAGTTCAAGAAATATAGCCCTTGTTTGATCCCCATTCTTTTGAGAAAATGAATTTTTCTACAGTGTTTTGACATAATTTCAACAACGCATTTTTCAATAAAATAATATTACACGCAAATTCAAAATTTTTCTTTATTTCTTAACCACACATTTTACATCAATACACTATTCAAAAATTCATTTTTCCCCTCAAAATGAGGCTCAAACAAGGGCATATTATCCATATAAAAATAATTGTTGGACAACATGCTAAAAAATAAATTTTCCTTTCATGCATCTCATTAATTCCAGCAAATGATGGAGGATATCTATTCAAATTCAAGAAGAAACAATTTCTAATACGTCTATACTTTGTAATGACCATTAACAAGGCTCGAGAACAAACATTGCCTACTGTCGGAATTTACCTTCTTCCATATGTATTCTCTCATATGCAACTATATGTTGCACTTTCTAGTGCAATTTTAAAACAAACAACAAAAGTCTTGGTAAAAGCACAAAATAAAAAAAGAAAATATGTGGAATGTTGACAAAAAAATATTGACTACGAAGAGTGTTATTGTAATCATAATCCAAGAATGTATAATATGTTGAGAACATCTCCAATGCATTCAATAGATTAGAATGTGTTAGGTTTTCGTTTTTAAGTCAATTTTGTTTTTCAATTTTTCAAAATATTGGAAACGTATTTGGTCTGATATTTCTAAAAATGTATTTTTGAAAATAAGAATAAACTTATAACATAAAACTCAAAAGGCTGAAAATATTCTAGAAAAATAAAAACTATAAAAAATAAAAATAAAAATAGTTCTAACTAATGATTATTTACATAAAAGTTTAAAAAAAAATTTAATCCAGGTCATTAATTTTTTTTTGTTTTCTATATTTTAAATTCAATTTATTATTTTAATTTAAATTTGTTAGCGAGAAAAAAAAATTTAAGATTCGTCAACTTTAAAATGCATATAATACTTAATAATATATTAACATAAATTTATTCTATTTTTACTAGATAATGAAGTTTAATGAAATAAAATGGCATAAAATATTTGTTTCAAAATTTCAAACAAAACGTGTTTTCTAATTTTTAGTTTTGAGAAATAATTTTTCAAAAAGATAAACCAAACATGTTTTTAGAAATATTAAATCAGACTCAAAATAGAAAATTAAAAATGAACATAAAACTCAAAATCGAAACACAAACCAAATTAGCCCTTATCATCTAGCTTATGTGTAAATTGAAAGATTTTTAATTTACACAGTCTAGTAGAACTTTAGACTTCATCCCCATGGTTCTATCTAGTATCTACCACTCAATAATATTGTATAGTTATCTTCTATTTTCTTAAAATAGAAACGTAACCGTATCTAAATTTGTATAAGAAAAATAAATCTGCTCACCACCAAGGCAATACCACGTCAAAAAGTCAAGTCACTTTTTTGACAAATAAAAAACAAAGGGGCTTGACTCGCCAACATGACGATGGGTAACATAACTCTTACCCACTGGGCAGGAGATTAATTCTAATAAATCTGAATCTAGATAGAAATCTATCGCATTAGCTTCATTAATCTCTCAGATTGCACTAGAGAGAGGGCTCACACTTGTAACAATGTGTGAAATCAAATACATTAAACCTATAAACTGAGGGCGAGGTAATTCCAAAGTTTAACTGCGTTAAATTCTTTTTCTTTTACTGGTTAGACAAAAAAAGCAGCCAAACATTAAATGCGTGGGGGAATATATAGCAGAGGTCACAAAATCATTTTGATGCAGAAGAGAATTTTAAGTGTTATTTATACATCAGAAAAACTTCACAAAGGGAATAACTATTTGCCGGTACCCTCTTCACTTGGCATGAAAACAAGACGACTATTTTGGAGCAAAGCAGCAGGAAATGGGGCTTGACAAGAGCTAATATGCGATCTGAGGCGAGGTATGTTTGGATGTGCACTTTGACACCTATGACACCTCAATTCCATGGAGAGGAAATTGTCTTCATTTTTCGATGTGGCCTTGCCATGTTCGTTGATTTCCTGTATCACATCAACTGAATCCCGGAAGAATGGGGTATTAAATGAGTTCCAATGCTTCTTATTCTTGAGATGTTTCGAGTCAAAATCTTGGCTGATCACATGAAGGTGCAGTTGTCGCATTGAAGGGGCCTATAAGAAGGGACAACTCATTTCGTCAAACAGAGGAACAATGCACTGCTTGCAATAAAAAAATATGGAGGGGGGAAAACTACTAAGCTTGCTTGCTGCAATGAGGCAAGGATTCAACCAATTAGAACAAAAGAATTTGATTGGGCGAACAAACCATGAAGCCAAGTTCAACCCCGGAAATTCATTGTATAGAGTCAGACTGGAAGCATTAGAATTTTAAATACTAATCCTCATTTTCTAAGCCTATGTTTGGCTCATGTTTATAAACTGTTTATAAACATTTAAGCCACGTTTTATCTACATATTATGAGAGACCCACAAGTTACTACCCACTTATCTATCGCTTATTTCTATCCATATATGAATAATCACTTCCGATATTTTAAACCGTTTATATAATCACTTCCCATACATGCTATAAGAAATACTTTCAACTATCTATTTAGATAAGATAAGCTCCTTCAGTTGCATTTATTGCCTGAACTTAAAGTAGACCAAAATAAGCTATTGTCATCCATAAGAGACATTTTTTTTGTACTGGGAAATAAACTTCTTAGTATGGTCGATTTAAGGTTGCCGTTCTGTTTTCACGACAGCGAAAACTTAATTAATCTTCTTTCCCAGTATTATTGATCAAAAGGCACCAAATAAACAAAGTTGCTTCAAGGTCAAAGTCGATACTTTTATCATTTATCCCCTAATTCTACTAACCCTCTGTGAATATACATAACAAATTCATCTCTCTAGCACACAAGTCAAAATTCTTCTGTTCAATGTATTCTTATACATCATTCCCTTTTTCATACTTTAGATGACAAATGAAAGATTAATTCTTAAGTGGTCAACTGAGTTTGCCAAGGCAAGTAACACTAAGTAGACTTAACAACAACAACATCAAAAAAGCACTCTTCGGTCTAATCAGAACTTACTGAATGGTACCCAAGACGGAATACCAGTGATTTATTTTCATCAAGAAACTTTTCTGCCCACTTCAACCCAACAGCATGCATTGTCTTTAGCAATGAGAGGTGCTCTCTGCATACATCTGCAAGCTGGTCCAGACCTTCACCTCTTGCCAACACCAACAGATGCCGCTGAGCCTGAGCGAAGAAAATAGAGAAGTGTTAACAGATTAAATCATTTTTTCGCTTTCAAGTGTATATTCCCAAGTGTGTGTATGTGTGTGTGACAGAGAGATATGAAAGACCTTTGGATAAAGATCCTTCAGTACTACAACATCATCCAATATCTCCATCACAACATTCTTATGCTTGTCAGGATGCATTGCAATATTGTAAAGAGCCTGAGCCCATGAGTTCCATGCTTTGGTCATGCCCCCACCATCTTCCTTATCTGGGTCTTCCTTTTTGTTCAGATAATTTCTAACACTAGGTTTAAGGTCTTTCTGAAGTCCCTTAAATTTTTTGTTTACATCTGATTCATAGATAGATTCCCTTTTGACCTTCTGATCACCATTTGTAGGACTTATCTTTGATTCTAGTGATGTCTCACTGCTTCCCTTCGAGGATCCTCCATGACACCTCACTATGGATGCAAACCCTTCAAAAAGGGATGAGTAAGATTCACGAAGTACCTCACAGCCTTGGGCATAGTCATTGTTGAGACAGTTTGGTCTGTGAGGATTCATATTTGGTCCTAAAACATGTATAACATGAGTTATGCCTTCCCTAGTAAACAATGGAGAAGTTGGAGGAAGCGGGAC